ATTTATCTTTTTCTCGCCCCAGCCATGTATTTATATATTTGTATTTGCTTAATCTCGTATATAATATAGATTATGTATCACAAAAGTGTAATGTATCCAAAAGTGTATGAATACAAATAAAAAATGCTTTTGATGTAGTTTTTCTTTACTTGTTTTACATTTATAAACCTTTTGAATTTATAAATTTAAAAAGTTTGTAAATTTAAAAAAAGTTGAACAAAATTGCATCAAAAAACTTTTGCATTTGTATTTGTTCATTTGGATATATTACACTGTAATATTGCTTAAAATATGTTTCTTTCATTTTATTATTTAACTGTTTATATAATTTTTTTTTTTATTATGTTTCTTTCATTTTAATTTTTTATTTTGTCTCAAATTTATTTGTGACGGATCCAGAATGAACGTACCCTATCCCCCTAGATCCGTCACTGCTCCGTTGAGCCCGTAAACGGAAACATGACTAATTGATGTCTATTGAGGTACCAGACTTTATTAAGAAAAGAAAAATGGTTTCTGAGGTTATAATTTCAGGTCACCATGGATCAACTTGTAACTGAGATTGAAAGGTGAATACAAGCTTTGCTTCTCTTGTTTTAGATTCTTTGTGCGTCTTTTACATATGGATTCTGTTGTGATCATAGCGTACTTTAAAGAACTTTTTTAAATTTACTTAAACGATGCAGAAATTTATATTCTGAATGAAAAACTAATTTACAAGAACTTTGTTCCCAATTCAGTTGAAAATAATATTAGTAAATCCAAAAAAACAAATCATCTCAATTTAATCTGGTTATTTAATCAAAGAAACTTGAATCCAGTCTCAAACGTCAATGTTGTTCTGAGGATGTTTTTCTCTGCTGCTGTTACAATTTGTAACGGAGAAAAGTCTTTTTTAAACTTCAAAAAGGGTATTGAAAAAAAGAAATTGCTACAACTCTAATAGTATACAAAAAAAAAGTTTACATTTAAAGTTTTTACTTTCGCTTTTTTTTTTTTTTTTTTTTTAATAAAAACTAATTACTAAACAAATTATGCATATATATTAAAAAAAATTTAAGTATTGCTGTATAAAAAATCTAAATTTATATTCGCTATTTATTTATTTTTTTAAGATGAAGTTGGCATACCAATATTTATTGTGGCCAACTTTGAATTTTATTATTTTTGAAAATCTGGCTTTATAAAAACTTTGTAAAAAAAGAAAAATAAAAAATTTGTGAAAAAAGAAAAATAAGTTGTTTCTTTCTAACTATAAATATTTTTTGATTAAAAATCAACAAAACAAATATCTCTTGTATAATATGTTTTATATATTAAGAATTTGGCTTCAAAACAGGGCACTCTACTGATCATGCCATTCTTCATCTCATTCAGATTATTTTTCAAAGTTTTGACAAAAACAAGTTCACTTTAGATGTTTTCATAGATCTTAGTAAGGCATTCGACACTATAAAATAAACATAGCTTGGTTCAAAAGCTACTTATCTAATAGAAAACAATATACAGTCGACTCTCGATATCTCGAATACTTGATATCTCGAACTTTTGAGTATCTCGAACTTTTTTAGCGGTCCCATGGACATAAAGTACTAGTTTAGGCTAAAATCCTCTCGATATCTCGAACCTTAACATCTCGAACTTTTTGGTATCTCGAACAATATTTTCGGTCCACAAGGCAATTTTCTCTCGTTATCTCGAACTTTTCAACATTTTTTTTTTTCAAAAATGTTTTAATAAAATTTAATTTCCAATTTAATAAAAGTTTTAATAAAATTTAAATTCCAATTTTTGAAAAAAAAAAATATTAATTCGATTTTTTTTAAGAATCGAATTTCTGAAATGTTTTCCTTTAATATATTAATTTATTCTTTTTGTCAAACGCAACAACATGCCGCTCGTTAAACGAAAACTCACGAACAAATCTATAATAGAAAAATCAGATTTTAGACCCTAATTCTCAGATTTGATGCTCAGATTTTAGACCCTAATTTTGAAAACGACGATAATGAAGTTGAAGATAGCGTTGACGAAGCTATTGACGTCGAAGCCCCGCCACGCCCATCTGTTATTCAATTAGAAATTGCTTTTGAAACGATTCAAAATGCTTCGCTATACAGCTCAAAATACGGAAATGAAACACAATCCCTAGCACTAAAACTTGAGGATTAAATGAAGATGGAAAAGATGGATAATTTAAAGCAATATCAGATAACAGATTTTTTCCAAAAGTTGTTGTTTTTGTTGTTAATGATTTTTGTCAGAAAAATAACTTGTTTTAATGAAAGTGGGGGAACTTTATTTATTTTTAATCCTTTTCTTGATATCTCGAACTTTCGATATCTCGAACTTTTTTTCCGGTCCCCTTAGTGTTCGAGATATCGAGAGTCGACTGTATTTCATTTGGCAATGAAAAAACTAACAATATGACAATTACTTGCGGCGTTCCTCAAGGATCTATATTAGGACCACTTTTATTTTTATCTATATTAATGATTCAAGAAAAACTTCTAATATTCTAGATTCTATATTATTTGCTGATGACATAAATTTATTTTATTCTCATAGTGATATAACAACATTATTTAAAACGGTCAACATTGAACTTCTGAAACTAACCGAATGGTTAAATATGAATAAATATTCAATTAATTTAACTAAAGCCAAATATACTATTTTTCATCGCCTCCATAAAAAAGATAAAATCCGTATTGCACTTCCAAAACTTCTTATTGGCGAATACATCGTAAAAAGAGAATGTTCAATAAAATTTCTAGGTGTAATACTAGATGAAAACATAAACTGGCAAGACCACAAAAACATGATTGAAAATAAAATTTCTAAAAATATCGAATTACTTTATAAAGCAAAACCATACTTAGATCAACCATGTTTGAAATACATATATATATTGTGCAGCCGTGGCGCAGTGGTAGCGCACTTGCCTCAGAAACGTAAGATCCCTGGTTCAAACCCCACCTCTGAGCAAGTTTTGCGACATCGGTTGGGAAGGAGGCGTGAACTTCCTATTAAATGCTCTTCCGCGGTGCTCTGTGATAAGACCATAGGTTATCCTAGTCATATTTTAAATATCCGGAAAATTGTTTGAATAAAATATCCGGAAAAAATCCGGAATTTGTTTCCCTTATTTTCTTTTTAATTTCGCTTTTAGCTAAGTGATGCTAATTTTTTTAAATACTTTTCATAATTTCTTTATGAGTGATGAGTGAAAAAGCTTAAAAAACAAATATATTACAAAAATATATACCTCAACTTGCATTTATTGAAAATGTTTTGGATATCCGGAAAAATTATAAGTTGAAAAAAATATCCGGAATTCCGGAAATATCCGGAAAAAGATAATCCCTGGATAAGACCGTAAGGATTTCTTGGGGCACCTAAATCAACTTAAAAAAAAAATGTATTACTCATTTATTCATTCCAATCTTAATTAAGCAAACATTGCTTGGTGCAGCACCAATAAATCAAACACAAAAAAGCTATATAGCAAACAAAAACATGCAGTCAGATTATTTTCAAATGCACACCGCCTCACATATTCTTCAACAATCTAAAAATATTAAATTTGTACCAATTAAGTATATATCATCTGCTAATTTTTATGTATAAAACTAACAGTAATACAATACCAAATATCTTCAAACCATTATTTAATAAAATTTAACACAAATACATGACTAAATATTCAAATAACAACTTTGTTCAACCTAAAACTATATATGAGTCCACCAAGTTCTCAATTACTATTAGAGGACCTAATGTATGGAATAAGTTAATTAGTAATGATATTAAAACACTTGAACAGTTTAAACAAAAGCTAAAACTATTGCTTTTAAATAACAATCAAACAGAGAATTATTCTTAAATCTATCTTTAAAAATATTATATTTGAAAATTATCTATTAGTGCATACTTTATTTGTCTGGAAAGGTCTAAAGTCTTTAATTATATGCATTACAGTCAATTATATTATGCAAAAGTAATTATGGATTTACAGCATTTATGTACAAATGTGTGTGTATGTGTATATGTATGCGTGCGCAAGTGTGTATATGCATACATATAGGGGAAAGCGGGGCAACACGGCGAAAGTTTTGAAAGCCTTTAGTTATTGCAAAACTATCAGTCGTGAAGCGATAATACTTTCTCAATATGTTTATGTTAAGATAATTAATTGCCTGCATGAATTTTCAGTTTGCAAATATAACAATTTGAATTAAATATTAAAATAAAAAGTTCATAAATTTGTCATCTGCTCACGTGACCGGGGCAAGTTGACTTATTATGCAATTTTTGCCTCCAATTTTAGAAAACTTTAAAAACTAACAATAACTCTAACTAAAGTAACACAAAATAAACGCCAACCGTAAAACTACTTTTAAAGAAGTTAAACTTGAATGACGCCATCCATTGTGAGAAACTGAAAGTGAGGATTTTTTTTAAAGCGCAAAACGTAAACTTATGGGTATAAAATTGCGTTAATAATATTTAAAAAAATTAATTGGTATTTTAAAATACAAGACGCAAATACAGTTTCATTTTCATCCAATTTTAAGATTTTTTGTTGAGTTGTTATACGAAAACCCATCTTGCCCCACTCGCTATGTTGCCCCGCTTACCCCCAATATATACATGTGTATGTATATATGTGTGTGTGTATATATATATATATATATATATATATATATATATATATATATATATATATATATATCGTCGCATGAGAATTATAGGGTTCTATCTGCCTTGTTTTATGTTGAAAGAATTTAACAATCAAAGTTTTAATTAATAATAAAAACAAACTACTTAATTAAAATGATATATTATATATCATTTTTTAAGTGGTTTAATAAAAAATATGTTAAATAATGATATATAGATAACATAAACAACTTATAATTTATAATTATAATGAATAACATAATTGCACATCATTTAGATTAAAAGGAATTGATAACGGAAAAAACGACACCATTATATAATTTTGAAATTTTTTATTATTAGAATTACAATCAAAATCATTTATTGGATTTTTAGTATTTTACCGCATTCGAATATAAAAAACTACTGTTTTGTATTCCTCTTAAGTGTTTCTAATTCACTGGCCATATTCTTTCGAATAACCTCATTTAAACGTGCTTCTAGCATTTTAGCCTCTCGCCTTGCAGACTCAACTTGTTTCTCTAAAATTGTCGTGTCTTGCAAATCATCGTCAAATCCACAAGATGCATTTTTTCCAGAACTCAACAACAAATTAATTTTTTCCAAGTCAGACAGTGACAATGAAGATTCCTATTGTTCAAAAGTAATTTATTATTAGAAATTATATTAAAAAAAGAAAAAAAAAAAACCAAGCTAAATAGTTATTTACCTTGCATTTTTCAAGAGCACTTTTCAGATCTTTAGAAATTTGCTCAGTATTGAGTTTGATTGCTTCCGTTTCAAAAAGCACATTTTTCAGCAGCTTTTCAGTGGATTCAGTCAATCGACTGACTATTTCTTGCTCTTGAGATGACGAGGATGACTTACAACTAACTCCATTTTGATCCGCTATTACCTGAAAGTGATACAGGCAATGAATCAGTAAATTCAAACACAGCAAAGACGTCACAACAGTGTGGCAAGTATTATATTCAGAATACCTGTGTCGGGGAATGTAGTATTGTGGATGTTGTGCCGGCATCGCTTTTTAAGATTCTAATTGGCTGGCTTTTTGTAGTATTCTTTATTTTTTGAACCGTCGGAGGAGATTTGCGTATAGAAGGAGGAGAATTTTTCACTTTCTTCTTATTCTTTACACTTTTTTTAAGGGGTTCATCATCAGTGAGATCATTTGTTTCTGTTTCAACTCGACCAACTAAAACCTGGATTAAACAAAAAATTTTTTTAACTTATTAACAAATCAAAAAAATATCAAACCATAAGTAGTTCAAGCATTTACAGTTGAGACAAGCTCTGAACCATCTTTGCCTTTCTTCTTCTTTTTTTTATTAAGCTGTTTAGATTGAAATCCAATTGTAGTGTAGTCGCCAAGATTTATATTACCTTTAATGAAATTTTTTTTTTAAAACCAAGTAACAAAATACTAATACAGAAGAAAAAACAGGAAAAATAAATAAGAATAGCATCAAATGCAGTGTTAAAAACAAGTAGTTATTCATACTAAACTTATTAAATATGAATTAAAAAAATAATTATATTCATTAACACCCTTAAAACAATTTATACCATTGTTACTAATAGTCGGGAAATCATTAGTAAAGTCATCAAGTTCACTGACACGCGAAGAAGGATTAGCATAAACAGACAACTGTTGTCCTAGAGATGGTTGTCTTGAACCACTGACTGTGGTAAATCCATCTGATAGTATACTTGACTTTAGAGGTTTAACATGAGCTGTTGGTTTCTTTGCTGCAGGTTTAACTTGATTTCCAAATATAGGGGATGACTTTTGTAATTTAACTGGTTCAGTGTTGCAGGATTCTTTTGCAGATATTTGTAATGGTTGGCTTGGAAGATTCTTCATATCATCTTGCTTAACTTTTTGTGGTTGGTTTCCACTAACAACAATATTCCAGGATGCCATTCCTTGTTGATTTTGTTGTGGTAAAGCATTACCAGAACTCTTTAATAAAATAAATGGTGATCTTAATCTCAAAATAAATACTTAAAACTCATATGTTTACTTACTGTTCATTTTACCTGGTTAGTATTTTCTCCTGGTAAAGGAAAAGCCATATTGTCAACGTTAACTTCTTTATTTTCATCTAAAATAGATTAATCTAAATAATTCTCTCGCTTTCCAGCTATTACATTTCTTTTTACAGGCAAAGTCAATTAACCATATTAGATTTACTTTTCAACTGTATTTTTTATCAAAAGTTATTTACATCTATTTTTTTAAAGATAACCAAAAGGTAATTATGTTTTAAGCCTTAAGTATTTAAGTCTTAACAAAATCTATTATAAAAAGTTATCACCAGAGATGGAAAGTTCTAAAAAAGATTAAGACTATTTATTCCTGGTGTCCAGGAGCTCAAAAAATGTTGAGATACATATGCACTACTTTAGAAAAAAAAAATCAGGGTTACTTAGAGTACAGGAATAATATTAACTACAAATTTCAATCTCTTTATGTAAAATTGTAGCCTAAAGTTTAAATTTTAAATCTTTATTTTTTTCTTAATGTAAACCATAAGTTTCTTGACATTTTTTGTGACCACAGGCTGACTAGAGACCAGAAATAAATACTATTCGGAAACTAGAGTCCTTTTTCAGACTTTACAGCCTTGGCTATCACACACAGTTTCAAATTAGAATAAAAGGTTTAGAGAAAAATTATTGTAAAAAATACCTGAAAGTACTTTTGACCACAATATACTTGGATCTTCACTTTGTGATGGTATTGCCGCAATGTTGAAAGGACGAGAAGTTGGGCCAGCCACAAGATTTGAATTAATATTTTGTATAGCAGAAACCTGAACAGGAGATGTATTTAATAAAGAAGATGCAGCTTGAGGTAGAACTTGAAACGGAGGATTAGTAGCTGAGAAACCAGGTGGTGGTGGAAGACGTGTACCTACAGGAAAAAAAAAAAATTTTTTTTTATATCTCTTAGCAATTTCTTTTTTTTAATGAAGTTTTGATGCTGATTTCTAAAATGAAATCAGTTTTCTAAAATGTTTTGAGTTTATATCTTGTTTTTTGATTTTCAATGAGAACAAATCATAAAGAAACATGCCATTTACATTATTGCAGCAGCAAATATTATCCCAAACATCATAATAGAAATTCTTTGTTGTTTTTTATATACAAATACCCTATAAACCCTTACAAGTAAATTCTATTCTTTTGATTGATTTACAAGTAAATTCTATTCTTTTGATTGATTTACAAGTAAATTCTATTCTTTTGAATGATTTACAAGTAAATTCTATTCTTTTGATTGATTTACAAGTAAATTCTATTCTTTTAGTTACAATGTAAAAAGTTCAGGATTAAGAAGAGTTTAAATATCTGATCAAATCTTTCAGTTGATAAAATCAAAGTTGAACTCTGATTTTATCCATTTCTCCGATGATCATATCTTATGACAGGCAGGGTGCGACAAATCGTTTTTTTAAAATTAACATTGACAATCTTTTCTTTATTTATTGACAAACGTCTAATTGAAGAGGTATGTCAAATAACAGTGCCAACGTTGTGGCGGCAAGGAGTGAGGGATTGGGAAACGTGCATCCTTCTCCCACTTTTTTCTTAAAGGCCCTTTTCTTTGGGTTTTTTTTTAATAGAACTTCTAAAGGACTTTTTTTTAGAAATAGATGGTTGTGCCTCCACATCGAAATCCTTGCTTATAAAGCTGGCTTATTCAATTAACAATTAACTATAAGCCAGTTTTATTTTCAACTCTTTCATTTTTTTTTCTTTAAATAATTCTTCATTAAATTATAAGAGTCTTATTTTCGAATAACTTTTACTCTAGCTAATAAGATATATAACAATTAGAAATATCAAAGATCCTTATTGAATTTTATAAATTTTTTATTCAAATTTCCTATGCTTTTGTAAAAGCGTGTAAAAACCGACATGCTAAAACAAAATTACTTTCTTCAGTTGCATACTTAATTATTAAACTTGAAAGTAATGCTATTGAAGAAAGTATTTGTATTAGGCTGTGTTAATAAAAATGAGCATTTGCTTTTACTCAGTAACTGGTCAGCTTTACGTAAATAAAAACTTCAGCAGTTTTCCTCAAATTTTTATTCACGTAAATTTAAGCAACTTACTCAGCAATTGCTCAGCTTTACGTGAATAAAAACATAAGCCAAATTGCTGTTTTTATTCATGTAAAGCTGACCATTTACTAAGTAAAAGCAATTGCTCATTTTTATTCACGCGGCCAATTGTTTCTTTTAAAGTCATTGAAAACGTGTTTTGAATTTTAGTAACTTATCCTTTTTTTATGATAAATATGTTTTTTTATAATAAATAAAAAACTATCAATTGCATAATTATTTGGAAAAAAAAATTACTAAAGCTATGCATTTGTTTTTAAAAATTTTAAGCAAACGCCAATGTTTGCTTAAGTAAAAGAAGGAAACGCAACGTTCGTTTTTCTGTCTCTTTTTTAACAAATGTTCGCACGTTTGTCAAATTGTTGCGCTCTGAATCATTTTATGATTCTTTTGTCTGGAAAATAAAGTTAATCAAATTAAATAACAAGATATAACAACTCCAATATTTGATATGCATTTACTTATATACAATGCTTCAATAATTAAACTATATAAAAATTAAGTTGCAATTGCAATGGTAGGCTGTCATCATGTGATACCAGTTGTATTGAGGATGGCATGTCTGGATGTTGGAGTGCATGTTTTCCTCTTGTTCCTATCATTTTTCTGTACTTTGTAACATTTAATTCTAAGAATCAGAAATGGCATTGCTTTACCAGAACCTCTCCGTCAACTTTTCAGTAGATCCACAACTTAAACATATTATGTGGTGCCTATCCTGGTCACTAATCTGTATTCTTAAATATTGTCTGTAAGCTATACTGAATTTAGCCCTTTTGACTATCTTATGTGAAAACTGTTTACTACCAATATAATATGTGACACCTGTTTACTACTAATGCACACAAAATGGGAAGTTTTACATCATGTTTCAATTACTAGTTTCTATGTACTAATTTTATTATATTTTAAGTATCTTCATTTTATTAAAATTGTAATAAACTGTTGGTAAAAGTGAATAATAAGAGTACCAGGGAAAATAACTAGTAGGGTGGAGTTTACATTAAACATATTTCTATATGGTTTCCTTTTTTTTTATAAACAGAGGGAGGGGGGTATGATTTAGAGTAGAGTTAAAGAGATAAAGGGGGTATTAGGGCAGATACACTTGTGTATAGGAATATTATATAGTAAAGGGTGCCAGACCTTTTAAAGGAAATTAGGGCACTTGGAAAATTACGACACTTACCTTTAAAAAAAATCCTTTAAAGGAATTAATTTAATATTTAACTTCAACAAAATTAAAAGTATAATAATAAAAATATAAAAAAAAATAAAAATCAACACTAACAAACATACATAATTGATAACTTACTGTTTGTATTCCACAAAGACTGTGCACTTGGTGGGGTTGGATGAACAAAATTGGATGATACTGGCGCACTGTTAGGCATATTAGACATTTTATCTGATTCATTATTAATGGAGTCTATTAAATAATAAAAAATTATTTAAAACAAACTATTTAAATCTGTTTACTTAAGTTAAAAAAAGAAAAGTTGTAAAAATCAAATTAGTTTACTTCCAAAACTGATGTTTATATTTGGAAACAAAGCACGGAAACCATCCTGCCAATTTTTATTCTCTGTCGGAATATTAACCAAAGGTGGCATATTTAATTGTGACTGACCAGTTAAATTAGATGATTGCAGATGAAGTAGTGGATAACGCATCTGGTTCATCATTTCATGGTTATGCTGTTGCATATTGGGAAAAGATGAATAAAACTGTGTTTGAGTTTGGTGGGGAGACATAAAGCGAAGTGGTGATGGATTACGTGCAGAGCTAAGAGATGACGATAATATTGGAGGCTGAAAAGAGTTAATTACTTGAGCAGAAGGTCGAGATAAAACTTGCTGTTGGCCTACAAAAATAAAATCTTAAAATTTTAAAACTTGCTGTTGGCCTACAAAAATAAAATCTAAAAGTTTGAAAACTTGCTGTTGGCCTACAAAAATAAAACCTAAAAGTTTTAAAAAATTAAATTTTAAAACAAAATTAGAAAAAAAAAACTTGAACATTCTTTTATTACTACCGAAAAAGATTTTTTAGAAAAGAAAATTTTTTTAACTATGTAATATGAAAGAAACTTACTGTTACCAAACAATGAATATGAGTTTCCTGATGAACTATTTTTTAAATTTGGTGCAAAAGAAGATGGCCAAAACGCATCCCAAGAAAACGAGGGCTGAGGCGGAGCATTTAAACCTTGTTGTTTTTCAATAGCAATCAAGTCTTCTAAACCAGAAGTACTTTCTCTGAATGGATCAAAACCTAAAAAGAATATAAATATACTCTGTATTATTTGCTGATCTGTGGTTTCACTGTTGCCATCAATCTGTGGTTTCATTGTTGTCATCAATGGCTGTATTTGTTGGTCACCTGTGGTTAGTTAGTCACTGAAGTTTTAAAGTGACAAGTTGCATAATAATGCAAACAAATTTCTTATTTTTTAAAAATAAAAACCCACATTTTCTGAAGAGATTTTCTAATTAAACACCCTGTATATAGGGTTTTTAAAATGAAATATATACAAGATGCATTATATGTGTATTGCCAATGTAAATAATCACTGTAACATAAATTTCAATGATCAATGTTTAAAAAAACATACACATTTTTCAAAATATTTTTATTTAAATTTAATGTTAGTATTGATTCTTTATAGAAAATTTAGCATTAAGTCTTTACAGGAAACTTTTATTATCAAAAGCTTTTATTATTTTACTCAATTGAAATGTCATTTAAATACTTAAATAATTCAAATTTATCATTTTTATCTCTTTTATTTTAACTTGAAATAAAAATAATAAAAAACCAAAGGATTTAATTTCAAAATGAATTTGATAAAAACTAACTTCATATTAATTTCAATGGCCCATTATTTGTGGCACTCACATGAAAACTTTTTGTTTAAAGTAAGCAAGTATATTTTTAGTGTATTAGTATTTTTAAAGTAAAGAAGTATATTTTTAGTGTTTTAAGTATTTTTTGTAATATTGATATTTAAATATATTTTTTAATTTAACATAAAATCACCTAAAAGTTTGAATATCATTAAATTTGGAAAAAAGTTTAAAAATAAAAGTGAGAATTAAAACAACTTTAAAACCGAAAAAAAGTCAAAATATAAAAATTGTTAAAAAATGATCTAAACATATAAAAGTAATTTTAGAGAAACAATTTTATTCATTTAAAAAGAAAAATTACAACCTTAATAAGAAAGGAACATTTAAAAAGAAAAATTACAACCTTAAGAAGAAAAATTACAACCTTAAGAAAAAAATCGCAACCTTAAGAAGAAAAATTACAACCTTAAGAAGAAAAATTACAACCTTAAGAAGAAAAATTACAACCTTAAGAAGAAAAATTGCAACCTTAAGAAGAAAAATTACAACCTTAAGAAAAAAAATTACAACCTTAAGAAGAAAAATTACAACCTTAAAAAGAAAAGAACATTTAAAAAGAAAAATTACAACCTTAAGAAGAAAAGAACATTTATCTAAATAAAAACAACATCCTCAAATGTAAGGTCCACATTAGTGTGTAGGTTTTTTCTTTAAGAGTTAATTTATTTTTCTCACTAATTAGTTTCAAAACTTTCATTATAAACAACAAGGAGTTGTATGAAGAAATTTATGGTATTATTATTACATTATCAATAGATCATTACACCTTTAAAAA